CTATTATCATTATTTAGATCTGAGACTTTATGCCGTACAAAATAGTCTTCAAGATTACCGTGTTGGATTGACAAAAACTAAAATATGTTTAATTGTACTTGAACTACTGATCTGTGCTATTCATCCTGTACCTCATTCATCTCCTCAATTAGAATCAGAGGAAGTAACTTTAGATTCTTCCGAATCTTATTCTTTCTCTTATACAGCTATTGATGTCGGATTAGGTTTACCAAGTGAGTATTCTTCTTTATTTCTTTTGAAAATCATATTACTTATAAATAGTGTTTGCACGTTTGTATTTATTTGGTCGTTCAATTGTATTTCATTCACATCTAGTACGTAATATATCATTACGATCAATTAGTTATCTCAATCAAGTATCAATTAATTTTTTCTTTCTCATGAAAATTTATCTTCAACAATGGCCAACACGATGTTTGATGACATGTTGTACAATTATCTTTCTTATTGGAAGCTGGTCTTTACGAGCATGTAGTTATAAACCTACCGGAGAACATCTCACTATATTTGATGCAATGTGGTTATTTATCATTACATTTACCACTGTAGGTGAGTACTTTTCTATTAAGTAAAACTTAACAACAGAATTTATTAGGATACGGTGATCTATATCCATCGACTTATTGTGGACGAGGTAAGTGATATATTTATATCATATTCAGAAAATCTAATTATACTGAACAGGAATCGCGACAATTATTGGTTTTATTGGTCTTCTATCGTCTGCTCTACTCATATCGGTTCTTGCACAAAAACTTCTTCTAACTCGCGAAGAAAAATATGTACACACATTTGTATCCAATACAGAATTGGCGAAAGAACGTCAATATCAAGCAGCAAATATAGTTAAATTTGCCATAAAAGTCTGGTTTTTAAAACGACAAAATAAAGAACCATCTATTCGATGTATACAAGTACAGAAAAAATTATTTCAATCAATCTATCATTTGAAAGAAATTAAAAAACAACAAAGAAATTCAACGGATAATTGTATTGATCTGCATGAATTAGTAACGATACAACAAAATACAAATATGCAAATTGAGGAAACAGTACAACATATGACAGAGATCAAATGTGAAATGAACAAAATTCAAATAGAACTAAACAAGATGATACTTAATATGAATAATTTGCAAACAACACTAAATATCTTATTGAATAAATGATCTAATAACAGAATAGTTCACTTACGATTTTAGTCATCATATGGTGCATATTGATGAAAAAAATAGATCCACAATGACATTCACTCCCTAAATGTTTGTAGTGGGCGAAATCGCATATAGTTGATAATTAAAGATTTAAAACACTAACTGATATTGGATACTTTATATGTAGGTTATATTGTTGTAAATCTTGTTTTTCTTCTCAAAGCCTCAATTAAAGAGAGGAGCAAACGGAGAAAATACCTAAAATCCCTTGTTAATATTCCTTTTAAATTAAATTGTGTTCTACATATATATATATATATTTTAAATTTATTTGTTATTTACCGTCAACTTACATCATCGAAGTCACAAGCTCAACTTTTATTTATTCTAAGATGCATATGATAGTATCAATCATATTCGGGTGCCTTTTTCAAATTGCATCAGGTACAGTATCTGGAGAAAAGATCTGATCTTCAAAATCTACGCGATTTTCCAGGAAAAAGAAAATCGCTAATTGTTATTGTTCATTGATAGGAATCATTTAAACGTTGTTGTGAGTTTGACATAGAAAAGAATCAAATTAAGCATAATGACTAAGTTGTCTCAACATTTCTGATTTATTAAATGTTGTTATTCGCATGTTATCATATGTCGCATCATGAATCATTACATTTTCTATGTAACTAGGTAGACAGCATCGAGAAGAACAGAAAAATGAAATTGTAGAACACAAACAATTTGAGGAATCGATCGAAATTCTGAATAATAATGATAATTAATTTAGTGCAATCAACACCAGTAATGGCGAAATCAACCGAATATCTGTCGGAGTGTTTCAGTTGTACGCATATACCTAATCAAATATGTATCAACATTGCCAACAATTGTCCAAGTTGCATGATGTATCGAAACGATGAAGATCCAAGTATGTAACGACCCTTTTGATTTCTTCATATGTATGACTATTCGTTCGTTTCTAATAGATGTTATTGAAACAAGATGTTGTATATCGGATTGTGGACCATCATATCAAGTATCAATGCATAACGGTCGTCCAACATATTTTTGTCACGGTGATCGCTGTAATGTGAAGATGAGCCCAACTGTATTAGATTCTCTTAACTGATTTATTTTTCTCTCCACTATATGACTTTATTGAGATTTTCATAAATAATATTTTTATCTGTTCGATGAGAATTATTTAATAAAATCGTCATGAATCAGATTTTAATTGGGTAACAGATTTCATTTCGAACTATCACGCAAGCTGTACCTTAGAACAGTTTTAGAAAGTACTCGAACAATTTCAAGGGTATTTAGCTGATGACTACCATCTCAGTTTTGAAATCTGCTCGTATTCGGCAGGAGTAAATTGTCGAAAATAGTTGTAATATGGTTTAATCAATATTTGCTGAAATCTGATCGAATTGAGTCGAAAGTAGAACACTGTACTGCCATCCAAAATCCGATTCCGACACCATCGGAGTCGGAATGACTATTTGAAAATTTTTGGAGTCGAAGTCGGAACTAAAAAGAAGAATTTTTTGGAGCTAATATCGAACTCCGATTGGAAGACTCATTAAATTGTTTGTTTCTTTCTCAAAAAGAAGTTTATTCATGAAATTTAGTTTAATATATGAAGTATACTTTTATTTCATAAATAAATTCCAGTAAAAATAATAACATAACAAAGACACTTACATTAAGCGTGGGTGTGGATGTGGGTATGTGATGGATATAATGCGGACACCCACCCATATTCATATCCTTGCTACACTACAAAAGCGTTTCCGGAGTTGATCGGAGTCGGAATTAACTAGAATTTTTTCTCGGGGTCGGAGTTGGAATCGGAATAGAAAAACTCGACTCCGCAGTGCTCTAGTCGAAAGCCGATGTTTTCCGACGGCTATCGAAAGCGACTTCTTTCGCATGTCAGATTTCGAAGACCCAAAGGTTCACTTCAGGATATTAAAAATCACAAAACTTAAACAGCTTCGTAACTAAAATCCACCGGTACTAATCTCCTAAGAGATATTCGAGTATTACTGACTACCTATCTAACAACAAAAAAGAAGCACAAAACTAATTGATAGGTATAGGTGTGCTCGTTTATAAATTTTCCTCATTCATACTCGCACACACCCCTATACTTACTCCCACCCTTTTTTGATTATACGCAAACATAACATATATGAATAGAAAGATAGCACAGGAATTTTTAGTCTTTTTTATTAGTACAGTTGTCTTCACCAGGAAATGCCATTTGTAAGGGTGTGACTGTGAATATAAGACGATAATAATATTCACAACCACACCCTACAAATAAAGTCCGAAAGGAATCTCATGAAGGTCAAAATAGTGAAACTACGACTCATCCTTTGTATTTTCTACGAAACATAGTTATAGTGGATACTTAAATATACTTAATAGTCTTTTTTAGTTTTTACTCATTTAGAATAATTTTCCTATTAATGACTTAGTTATTCGTCAATTATGAAATGAAACGATCATTTATTATCCAATATCTAACCTTTGCTGTTATAATAAAGTGTGACACCACATAAGATAATACATTGGAGGTTTTTCATATACGCTTATTTCAATTTTATCGATATTCACATTATAGATTAATGTTGTATAAGATCAGCAAGATATAAATAAGTATTTAATCGTTAAATTAAAGCAATGAGGTCGGCAACATATTGTACGACAGAAAAATATTCTATTGACTGTTTGACATCGTTTATTTTACAACATCCACAGCTATCGTAATAATAGAAAACATGCATTTTATTTCAGATCGTTTAGAAAGTTATTTTGCAACGAACATATGATATATATATTTATATACACTAATAGAAAAACTATCGAAGGTAGTTATTATCAACTACACAACTTAAGTGACGGAATGTAAGCATGATCAATAATAAGTCTCGACAATCTCTATGAAAGAAAACCATAAAATAATATTAATAGTTTGGAAATCAAATAGTAAGGAACAACAAATTAAATTGTATTGTTTTCTATTTTACGAAACGTTGAACACTGATGATAATGAAAACTAAAACCATAAATCAATCTTCAATTTATTTTCTTTTAATAATTATTCCATTCAAATATCATACATAAAATCAATTAGAAGATTGACGTATTCTTAATAAGAACATATAAAATTACGCAATGATAGGTTATCAATAACATCCAATGAAAAAGAACAGCGCCACATTCACTATCATATATCATTTTTTATTTTTCAATTTTGTTTTAAAGAATAATTTAAAAATCTTAAATGAAATTTATATTTTTAGTTTTAATTAATATATTCTTTTACAAAAATTAGAGAACTAAAAAGCAAAATATAAAAATGACGTGTGCTCATCCGAGCAGCTGTTCTGTATTTCATACGATCTTGATCATTGTCCTTACTATACGACTATATTATCATTTAAGATATTCATCCATTAAATAGAACATTTCTTCAAAATTTTAATGGCGAATTATGGTGGTCCACGTTTTACACGACCTTCAATGAATGAACGTTCAGGACCAAGGTGATAATTTTGTTTTTTTTTTCTTTTATTTACTTATCATTTTATTTTCAAATAGATTTAATACACCACCTAATCGAAATGGTCCAAGACATAATTTTAATGATCATAGACATCCATTAAACAAACCAGCTAATGTACCACGTCCACCTAAACCAACTAATGATATATCAATGTATAATATATTTTTATTAATTATTTCATATTTTTATTTATGAAATTAATTTTTTTAGACCAACACCTCCTCCGACCAATCAAACAGCAGCTAGTTCAACAAATAATACAACTGATATAACGTAATTGATTAGAATTATGTTTATTTAAATGAAATATATTTTTTGTGTATTTAGTACTGATACAGCGAATAAATCAACTAAAGTATCGACTTCCGAAAGTTCATCGCTCGGAACAAGTTTATATGTTCCATCAGAATCTTCAGTAGAAAAAAAACCAACAACAAAAACTGATAATAAACTTCCTGATGAACAAGAACGAACGAATGCTCAAAAACGACCACGTATTGAAGGCAATCCGCAACAACAAAGTCCTTCATTTGATTTTACAGCATCATCATCATCATCACAAAATAATGAAAAACGAGCTATGCAAGGTGGTAGATGTCGTTTATTTATTGGTAATGTACCATCTGATTTAACACAAGATGAATTTCAATTATTATTTGGTAAATATGGTGAATTAGTAGAATATTTTGTTAATCCATCACGTGGCTTTGGTTTTATAAAATTGGTATGTTTTTATCTTCTTCTTTATTAGGAAACTTTTTGGAATAAATTTATTTTTAGGGTTCTCGTCAGTTAGCCGAACAAGCTAAATATGATCTTGATGGTTATATTTTACGTGGAAAACCATTACGAATACGTTTTGCAAGTCAAGGTGCAACGATAAAAGTTAAAAATCTATCACCAAATGTGTCCAATGAATTACTTAAAGAAGCATTTGAACAATATTTTGGTAGTGTTGAACGTGCTGTTGTTATTGTTGATGATAGAGGAAAGTCAACAGGAGAAGGAATTATTGAATTTGAAAAGAAACCATCAGCACAAAAATGTTTGAATGAATGTACAGAACGTTGTTTTTTTATTACTAGGTAATTATAATATGAATAATCGCATCGATATCATATTGTTTTTTCTAGTGAATTAAGACCTGTAATTGTTGAACCATGGGATATTCGAGATGAAGAAGATGGTTTACCAGAAAAATCATTAATTCGTAATCCTGTATTCATAAAGTAAGTTAGTAAAATATTAAATGATAATAAACGATTTTGTCTACATATATAGAGAACGAGAAGCTAAACCACGTTTTGCAGAATTAAGTACAATTGAACATACAATTGGTCTTAAATGGAAAGAATTAGAATTACAAGAAAAACAATTATTAGAAGAAGTTAAACAACGTATGCAATATGCTACTGATCAAGTTAAAGTGGAAATTGATGAAATGTTTTTAGAACATCAATCACAAATCTTGCGCGAAGGTTAGTTTTATTATAGAAATCGATTAAAAATATTTTTGTTGAATTATAATTAAGAAGAAATATTGTGTGTGAAATATATTATTTCGACTAGAGAGTTAGAATTGTATTTAATAGAAAAATATGCGCGAGTGATATTAGTCTTTTCCTTGATCTTAACAACTCAATGTCGAAATTATTCTTAAGCGAAGAAACCAGTTAAATAATAAATCATTCGAATTTTTCCTTGATGTCAGAGTGATATGTTGTCAAACAGTAGATAGAAACGTGATACTTCTTATAAATATCGATTTATATGTTATATAATGTAGTCATATGTTATACAGCACGAGAATACGTAGTATAAAATCTCGCTAGAGAACAGCGTCTATGTAATATCATATTGTATTAATTTGTAAAAAATTTATTATTTATTTTCGTCGAACACTTTTTGCGCTTTTTCAGAAAGATGAACTCGACATTTGTATTTATACTGGTGTTGTCAAGAAATCCGGAAAATAATAATCCGGAAAGATAAATCTGGAAAAATAAAATCCGGAAAAGTAAAAATCCTGAAAAAGAAAAATCTGAAGAGTGAAAAATCAAGAAAATTTTTATTCGTAGTGTAATAATCATAGAAGACATAACAAGTAGAAATAATGAAGATATGAGAGACAATTTGATAAGAAGTTTATTTCTTCGAAACTATCGAACGATAGAGTGCGTCGAGAAGTTCGGCGCGATCGATGTCGCGGTTGCAGAAGCGAGTACCTAAGTTATTGATGTGTTTCTGCCTGGCCAATGTCTTCAGCGCTTTCTTCTGTTGTGCTCCCGCTTTAAGCTTGAGAGATTGCTGTTGAAAGATGACTTCTACGGCTTCCAAGCAAGCGAGGGTCTGGGTGGATCTTTCTGCCTCACACCCACCCACACCCACACCCTCAAGATGTTTTATTTCTTTTCCGGATTTTTCTTTTCCGGATGTCTTGACATATTCTTTATACTAACACTGAATGATTCTTATCCTAGAAAAAATATTCAGAATTATGATCATATATCATAAATTCACTAGTAATAAATTCGTAAAACATTAGAGATTTTCTTAATGTTACATGTGTTTGAAATATTTGCAAGAAATTGTTTTGTTTGAGTAAATCCAAGAATTGAATAGTTAATAAGAAGAAATGGTAAGTGTTTCATGTTGTTTCTAGAATTATTACGTCGTCAAGAAGATCTTCGTCGAATAGACGAACTTCGATCACAGGAAATAGATCGTCGTCGTAATATAATGCCAATGCATCGTCAAGATGCATATAATAATCAATTTAATATGCCGACTGGTCCTATGAATACTATATTTCATCAAAATCAAATGCCTGGAAATGCATTACAATATAATGATTATCAACAGGTAGGATATCCACCAAATGCAAATTCACTTATGCAACAATCATCACCTGGTGCAGCAACAATTGATGCTGCTTATACAACAAATCAAGTATCACGTGGTTATACACGTCCAAGTGGAGATGATTTTATTCCACAACAACAACAACAACAGCAACAAGGATTTGATAGAAAACGGCCGAGATATTAAACATTTTATGTCTTTTTGTTTTTTCAACGTTTATCATTTGTGTAGATTGTTTGTTTGTAAGAGATATATATATATATATCGAAGAAATTCGATTGTTAATAAGTAAGAAACATTCGATTCGTACGCATGCGTCTTATATCTATGCTCTGTACGCCATAAAAATAAATGTATATGTTTGTTTTTCTCTCATTTTTGTTTACCCTATCATATGTACTATACTCGTAAAGAGTTATACGTAAATTACTTTAAGAAAAAATGAATCAATGCTGCTTTTGTTTTTTTTTTCTTCTAAATTTATCAACAGAAGATTAGATACGTTAGTTATTCTGAGTTAAGCATGAAATGAATAGGAAGAAGAAAAAGTTTAATATAGTATTTTTGTAGATTTTCGAGATCTTCAGTGTATTGAAAAGAATGAAAAACGTTCATCGCGTAGTAATTCCTAGATTGTTAGGATAGAATATACGAATCTGTTCATATTTGAATTATATAGAGTTACTGAAGAAAATATAACATATATAAATAGTACTAACAACATTATACAATCAAAAAAAACTCGGAATACTGTTAATGTTTGAAAAAAGTAATGATATACGCTTTGTTAATTATGTTTATAGAGACTCTAACTCTTTGATTCACATTCAAGTAAACAACTATTGATATTGAGCAGTTTTATAAATGCTATTTTCAGAGAGTACCACTTTTAGAAGTTAATCGAAGAGTTTAAGAAACATGGTTATTTATGTTCGAACTATGCGGTATTTTGTATTATACGATGAAGAGACGTATACAGACAAATTTCGGTGTAGAGGATATTTTAATTGATAAATCGCTTAAATTTTCGGTAATCCCAACTTTGGTCGAATAGGAAAAATGTCGAAAAAGGACGTGATAGGTAGCGCCATTTTTTCGACATTTTTACCATTCGACTTTTTTCCCTTCGACCGAAGTAGGGTGAACCCTGCATATCACTGTAAATGATCAAGAATTCTCTAAATCTAAATGATTTAATTACCAATATAATATTATATGACTGTGCTTTTACATTTCTAATGCGATAATTTGTCTCGAAATAACGTTTTTTTTTCTTCTGTCTAATCTATCTCTTGTCTTGAGCACATTTTCTCGACTCAATTTAAAATATATTTATTATAAATAATCTTCAAAGAAAATTTGTTATTTATCTTTCAAGTTAACACAGCACGTTTACTTCCTTTCTATTGAATGCTATCACTTGTTCATTTCACCACAGGACAGGATATTTAAAAACAAAAAACAGCAGTCATTTGTCATATTTAATGAAATTTTTAACAACAGCTTAAGTATCCACTTAACAATGAAATCATTTTTATCCCTTAAACAATTATATAATAGATGTTCATTTATTTCTTCAAAGAAACAAAAAAAAATAAAACGAAAAAAAAATAGTTCTCTATATATATATATTGTGGTTTATTTAACTTTTGTTCGTTGTTGTGGACTTGTATCAATTAGTGCTAAACATGGACGTCTTGGTGATGGTGTAATATTTTGTAAACATGATTGAAATAATTGTTCAATTCGATATTGTGTATGAATAAGTTCAATTTCTTCATAGTGAAGTGTATTTAATATTAATTCATCAATATAATGAATATTTTTGAATGAAAGACCTTTTATTGCTGCTTTTATACATGCACATGCAAGAAGACTAGGTAATATTGTTAATGTATTTAATTCTTAAAAAGACAAAAAAATATTTTATTAAAAAAAAAATTATTTTTCTTACCACATATTGCAATTGATAAAAGTATATGAACATGTATATGAATTTGTGTTTGATTATCATGTGATAAAAAATATTTTATATAATCATGTGGAACAAAATTAGCTAAATCCCAATCAAGTGTACTGCAAATTATTTCTTCCGTATTCTAAAATAGAAAGAGAAAAGTAATAAATATTTCGAAATTGATCGTTTTTGCTTACAAATATTTCTTCAGCACTGTAATTTTCATTTGAAAATATCGATGAGATTTGTTCATTTTCATTATTAATTAAAATATTTGTACGTAATTTTTTTGATAGATTATAACAAGATAAAGCTATTAATTTACAATAACGTTCTTCGATTATTTTTAAAGATGTTTGAGAAATAAAACGATCGAATATATTCATTGTTAATGCAAATACATCATCAGATATTCGTTCATCTTCAGTTAACTATAAAAAAAATGTTATTTTTATATAGAAATATGAATAATAACAAACTTTATTTAAACAATCAGCAATTATTCGTCGTTTTGGATGAGATTTAATAGATTTATTTGAATAATAAAATTTTTCAATAAAAAGCATTGTTTCAAGTTGTTGTTTCTCCATCATTGAAATGTTTCCTATATTATGAAGAAAATCTACTCAGCTGAAAATGAAGAGAGAGAGAAGAGAGAATACGATTGGTTAGAATAGACGAGAGAGGGAGAGAAAAAGAAAGATAAGAAAAGCCGAAAATAATAATTATAATTAGTACTTGTCGATGATACATGAAGCTTTACGCGTGTCTATAGTCCAATAATAGGGTCGAGAACAACATGTGTGAAGAGGTGCGGCAACAAAATTAGTTAAGAAAATCAATTAAAATAGATTTTATTTAATAATTTTCGTTTATAACAATGAAACCATCTTTATTACAAAAATAAATAATACACGCAATCTTGCGTGTTGCATATTTAGCATAATATTCTCACAATAAAATAAGGTGTGAAGACACGTCTTATTGTATAAGAATAGTTCATATATAAACATAAAAACTATTTGGAGAAAAAAATATAAGATTAATGTCTGAGAGAGTTTATCGAATCGTGACAATGTATTAAATGTAGTGGAACCGTTTTTCAAACAAAAAAAAAAGAAAGATTGTGTGAAAAGATGCGCTGATCGATCAATTAGAACATTAACTTAGGATCAATTCTCACCTAGCATGTGTGTTTTGATGACATGATTTGACATTGACATGCTAATGTATATAGATTTTCTTTTACTACCATCATATGTTGAAATGCTTATTTGATAAGAAAATGGCGTCATCGAACGAAAAAGAAAAACTTTAACATGTGTTTATTAACAACATACATTGATAAATGAACATTCGTATGATGAGATTTAATTCGGTTCGTTAATTTTTCAAAATATATAAAGAATTGACATCAAACAAAGATATTATTGTTCTAATGAGAAATGAAACATATTTTTATTATCTATTTTTCGAGTATTATTCAAAGATAAAGAATTTATCTTTTTCTTGTATTCATAAACAAGTTTATTTCACATTTGGCAAAGAAAAATGGAATGTATTCATTTAACACCAACAGAGATAATCACCTTTTCGAAAATGAGAAGCAACAATTATCAAGTTTAACATCTCTCTTACGTCAAAATTTGACCCATTTTCTTTTCTTCAGACAGGCATGAAGTGTGTGTGCGTGTATATATCGAGAGAGAGGAAAAGAATGTTTGTCAGTCACCCGTTGTGTACACACAATTATAACGGATATACAATTCCGTTTCAAAATATATATATCAGCTAATTTAAATTTTTTTATTTGTTTATAATCATGTACAGCAAGTGAGAAATTATTGTATCATCAAATTCTTTTTCTTTTTCTAACAGTTTTTATTTTATTTGTTCAATAGATATAACTAAAAATTGAACTTTAACAAAAAAAAAATAATAAAATCAGTATCTCGATCTTCTACCGCCTTTTCGTGATAGTTCATAGAGTACTTCCATTGGAACACCATCGAAAGATTGGCTGTTATATTGTTGAATACCATTGTCGTTAATACTTTGCAATCTATTTAATGCTTGATTAACTTCATCACTTGCTTGATCATATGTATATTGTTGTCTCCAACGACGTGGTGGATCATGTGTAGAAAGCCATTGTGATGCTTCTGAGTGCACAACTGAAGGATAATTTGTTTTTGATTGGTAAGAATTTGCATATACCAATTGAAGTAAAACAATAAATATAATAATAAAAATAAATATTGTACGCATAGTTTTTAAAGTTTAACACGGACGAAATAAATTCTACTGATTATATAGAAATATGAGTCATGATTTACTTAAAAGGAATTATGGTATTATCTTGTTTGATACTAAACCTTTTAAATGAAGCCAATGTTTAAGGTTGTATCGATACGTATGTATAACGAAATAGAATAATCAAGGGTTTATATAAAAGAAAGAAAGAAGAAGAAGAATATATGTACAAATATATATATATCGATATATGTTAACTTATATTTTATTTCTTTCAGTATGTCATAAATGTCTTCTACAGATTCAACAAAATTTTTGGATTTATTTAATAATGTTGATGAATATAAACAAGTGAATAAAAAATTAACAAAAATATTCGAAAATTAAATTTATCATATTTAGACAATATGTTCAAAAGTTATTGATGTTATTCGAACATCAAATCGATTAGGTTTCGAAAATTTTGAACAAATAATGACAATTAATTCTTGTCAGGAAAAAATGAATCTATTAAGTGAAAAAATATTAAATCGGTATTGAAATATATTTATCTAAAGACACAAAAAAATTGTATATATATATTTAGAATCTATCAACTAAAATCTCATATTCAATCCTCAAATTGGAATCAATTTGATACAGATGAAAAACTCGAACAATTAATTGATATTAATGATACATTATTTGAACGAATTGTAAAAATATTTATTTGTTTTTTTTTTCTAAATTATTTATTCTTAGGCATCAGCACTTGATGAAGCTGATGGAATAACAAAAACTTCTGTATCAACAACCGTTGTAAATAAGAATTTATTATTATTATCATTCGAATCTCTATTTTTGTTTTCTTCTAGCGACAAGTTTTAGAAAAACCACAATTAAAATTTAAACATAAAATTAATAATAGTACACAAATACCTTTCATTCCAAAAATACGAAATAAACCAAATGCTCTAACACCATTACCAAGTTCGTTTTCAATTAATTCGATTTATTTTTCAAAGATAAAAATTTTTTTAGCGATTATAATGCAGATGGATATGGAACCCATTGATCTTGAGTTATTACAAAGACATCCTGAAGTGTAAATATAAAATGCTAAAGCGAATTGAACTATTTCGGTTTTTTTGTATTACTTTAGATTAGATCACCCATATTTTGATGAAATCGAAGCATTTCAACCTGATGAAATACTTTTAAAATCAGTTATGCCTCAGTACCCAAAAGCAATAGAAGAAACAAAATGTTTATTTGTTGATTCACTTGATAAATTAAAAACTATGATGGATCATATTGAAATACAATCGGAATTAGCTGTTGATTTAGAAGTAAATTGTATTTTAAACTTGAAAAAAATATTTAGGTTTGTTTTCGATCTTAGCATCATTCATATAGATCATATCAAGGTTTTACATGTTTAATGCAAATATCATCACGTACAGAAGATTTTCTAATTGATACACTTATTCTTCGAGATGAACTATCGGTTCTTAATAATGTTTTTACAAATCCAAAAATTGTTAAAGTAATCTTTTTTGTATTCTCTGGAAAATAGAATTTTTTTGTTTTAATTCAAAAGGTATTTCATGGTGCTGATTGGGATATAGAGTGGTTACAAAAAGATTTTGGTATTTATATTGTAAATATGTTTGATACACATCAAGCAGCAAAAGAACTTAAATTACCGACTTTATCACTTGCATATCTTTTGAAAACTTATTGTAATATTGATGCGAGTAAACAATTTCAATTAGCTGATTGGAGAATACGGTTTGTTAGGAATTTTTAATGGAAATTAAATGTTTTGCTTCTTTTTCTTCATTTAGACCATTACCTAATGAATATCTTCGATATGCTCAAGAAGATACACATTATCTTTTGTATATTTATGATCGTTTACGAAATCAATTAATTGAGAAAAGCTCCGATGCTCTTCAATCAGTTTATAAAAAATCGAAAATTGTTTGTCAAAAGGTAAGAAAATAGTCATGAATTCTAAGTTATCAATGATACATATGTTTGTAATCTAGCAAAAATCTGGTTGAGAATTATAAGTTTTTCAATAAATTGCAGCTTGTTACTTCACACTTTCGTTCTTAAGCACGGTCCATTGACTAGAGTCCTTCGGATCCCCGGTTTTTTGGACCCGGACCCGTTCAATAAAATTTTTTTAGACCCGGACCCGAAGCCAAGGCCGGGTTTAGGTTGGACCCGATCTCGATGAGCACTTGCCTGAACTCAAACTATACTTTTAGACTCTCAGTAAATTTTCCTACTTGAAATCTGATATTTGCTTCGAAAATAGTTTTGTTGTTATTTTTTCTATTATTTTTATAAATAAATTGAAAACTTTTTGAATGAAATGAATAAAAAATTAAAGAAATTCAAAAAAAATATTATGTTGATAACATATCTCTTTCGAACTGGACCCGGACCCGATGGGCTCTACCAGTGACTCAATGTAGTCAAGAGTATATATTTCACCAATCAAAAACAGATCATTACAGTTTTCAGGTAGAGTTTTTCGCGAAAACTTAGACATCCGTAAACTCCAAATTTGGAGCACACTTAGCTCGATCCAGAAACTTACGCAAAACTCGACTGTTACATGGAAGATATTTTAGATAGATTCTACTTACGAGAAAAGCTTATCGCAACTTAAGTAGTGATGAAAATCAATATCAAGAGTGCCTGAGAAACATAGAGAATATATCAGTTATCGATAGAGATGATATAAACATAAGATTTTCATATTTTGTGACGTATATTGAATCAGTGTCAAGCTATTTAGACCTTTTTCATTAATATTATTGCAAATGCACTTTATGAATGAAACAAATTTAATTAATTAGATTGGAATGTTTTTTAAATTAACACGCGTTCTGTCTTAAAATTGAAGTGACAGAGTCGAAATTTATTTTTTTTTCTTAATTAGTTATACAAGAAACCAGTGTTTGATGAAAATGCATATAAAATTCTTTATACAAAATGTCATAAAACAACATTCGATGGTATCCAATTAGCTGCATTAAAACTACTCTATGCTTGGCGTGATAAAATAGCTCGAGAAGAAGATGAATCAACCAGGTAGGTTTTATTCTTATTTAAATTAACATAAAAAAATCTTTTTTTTTGTGTCATATTATAGTTATGTTACACCCGATCTAATGCTAATTCATTTAGCTGAATTAGTACCAAAGTAAATATTTTGTTTTAATTATTTTTCATTAGAATTATGTATTTGTAGAGATGTGCAAGGAATTCGAGCAAGTTGTAAACTAATTCCAGAATTAGTTATGAAAAATCTTGAAGAAATTCATCAATTATTAATACAAGCAATAGAAAAACCATTAGTAAATATACAAAAAATAAACTATGACGTATTTGTTTTAATCATATTTATTTTTTAGGAGATAAATATGGATGAATTTTTACAAAATAAACGCACTTTTTCATCAACAGATGTCAATGTCTCAACGGAATCATCATTAAATAACAATATTAAACGAGTTAGATTCGTTCCGGAAACATAATATTCTTTCTTTTTTTTTTCTTCTGATTTGTTCTAAAAGCTTTTCTTTTACTTTATCAATATATCGTCTTAAATGATGATCAATAAATAAAAAAATCAAGAAAGGGAAGGTTAAATATATTAAAAGAAAAAGTCTTATTTCTCATATTCTATTTTTAACAAATAGATTTCATTACGGTTTATTTCTTAGTGTAATTACTTTCCTTTTTTGCTACAATAAATAATTTAAAATTATTTACTTATTATTTACACTAGACATGCACGTAGGGGAAATCAGTGCATCTATTCAAGTCACGAAAGAGTCTCTTGAGAAGAAAATAAATGAAAGTTAACATAGTAAACAATATTTTACCAAATGATGTTTTGTATATAAGGACAATCAATTATCTTAATCTCTTGTCTTACAATCTTTAACTTCCTTTTCCTTTTGTTATGGTTATCATGCTACTAACATTCACTTTATCTCCATCAAAAAATTTCTTTTAAAACCAACATAATTTGTTGGTTTTTCTCTTGTGGGTCTTTATATTCAAGGTTATAGTCAATGGTTCGAAACAATAATAATAACAGTTATTAATCGCACTTTTAGACCTATCGATCAGCTTGAATTACAAGAGTACTAGGATTTCATTGGTATAAGAACACAAAATAGACAAGTAGTTTGTATTTATTTTCTCTTTCTGTATACATTATGAAGCACATCCAGAAAAAACAACTTGTCAAACAATAAAGTAAGAACTTATTCATCATTTTATTACATATAATCAAATTAAAAATAGCACATTGTCAAAGTCAATTTCTACCTATTTACAAGCAATAAATTCATAAAAAAAAAATATTCACCATTATATTTCTCCGTTAATTATCACGCTCATTTTTTTTTCTTGTCGTCTTATTTGAAGTATCTTCATATGACATTTATCTTAACGTCTTTCATTTTTTTTTGATTTATTTACCAGCTGATACCAAATAATGATTTCTTCTCCTACTATCAAACTGTATGTAGAGCAAATAAATAGTCTCAAGTTTTCTTTTTTTTTTACTAAGTGAATTCTAATAGAATATTTATTTCCCCTATTTCTATTTCTTTTTTTCCGACATAGGCTTTTTTTCATCGAGAAAACTAAATAACAATTGATCTTTATACACATTTGTGACTCGTGTGCGTCATCATAATTAATTTTTATGTATGACTGCTCATATAGGAATGTTTTTCAATTTGCTGTTGTGGTTAATGCTTCATATTCACTCGCTCTCTTTCTCTCTATTCCCTTACATATAAATAATCGACCAAGCAAAAAAAGTAATGACAATATATAGAAACGACGTATGCGTGTATTCAGGAAAAGAAGATGATTTAGAAGAAGAAGAAGAAAAAGAAGAGGAGAGAATCTATAAAGATTTTTGTTTGTTTTTGTGTATAAGAAAGTAAAATAATAATAAAAAATTCCAATAGAATACATTAGAGAACAGAAAAGAAAAACAAACATAATCGTATTTTTTCTCTTTTACTCCATTGTTTTCTATAAAATGATACGAGCAGTTGTAATTGGCTGCTATAGAATGTCAACTCCAGGAAGTTTAGACGATTTTATATTGGTATCATTTTTTTTCTCTATTTCCTTCTTTTCTATGATCACTACATCTCATCTAATAAACAAATATGTATTGACTATTAAATATGATGATTTGCTGAATAATGAATATTCGAAGCAAATATGACACTTAATACAATTAGTTAGTCTATAATTATATTATAAATTTCTCTATTCAGACTGTAGTTGTTGAATTTCCTAGTTCATCATGTTGTCTTCATAGTTAGAAGTTCTAATAGAATGATTACTCCTTGCCATCATCGTAGCTCATTTTAGTCAATTGTCATTTTTTCTTCTATTTCAAATAAATTCACAATATTTTTCTTAAGTTTAAGAGATAGAGAAACGAGAATTATAGTATATATAATTTTCTCATATTATAGATTGTTTCTTTACATATTCTCAGATTCATTAATAATTTGATCTTACAAATGTACTGATATATCTTATATTAATGCCACTCGCTCCTACAACGACCAAATCAACACAACATCGTTCACCATCGTCAATATTAATTGAAGATAATGATGATGCTCAACCACATGTTACTTTTCTTAAACAACAAAAATATACTGGTAAAAAAACTAGCATGAATACTTCGAATACTGGAATATCGTCTGCATCAACAGGCGATCGAATACCACCTAATCTATTAGAAATGAAAAAGCAACGTTTAATAGCAGCGGCTGATCGAAAAAAACGTATTATTACACGAATTATAAGTATTATTGGACTTTTAATAATTCTATTATGTGCTGGTATCGTTGCACTTACACTTAAAATGGCACCTAAAATTGATGAACTTGTTCGTACTAAATCTGGTGCACATCCATCAATTCATATTCAATCTCGAATGCTTATGTCACTAACCACAGTAACAAATGAATATCATAATTTTACTTCAAATACATCGTCGACATAGCTTTATTTACTTCGTACTTTTTTTGCAACAAAAGAATTATAAATGATAATATATACATATTATAAGAATAAAGAAATTTTTATTTCTAAGAACATAATCATATACATATTAGACATATCTATATGTCAATATTGATTAGATAAATTATTATATTGTATTTCATGTGTATTATATTATTATTCTTGACTTCAAAAGCAACCAATGTCATACAGAATTTTTTTCACTTGAATAATTTATTTTGTTTGTAAAAAAAACCAACGAAGATGCAATGTATATAACGTATTTTCAATAAATGTCAACATAGAATAAATTCAATTGTTCTTAAATTTAGATTATTTATCTCTTATATTAATTTATTTAAAAATTTAGTCAAAATAAATAAACATAGTAGAAAAATCTTAAAATTTTGCAATAATCAATTCTATTCAATGTTTTCCCTACATAATCGACCTAGATAGTTGTTCTACAAAATTAGTCGAAAATAGCATAAAAATTATGTAAAATCAAGTTATTCAATGCATTTTGATGCAAATAGATAAGAAAATAATCAACTTTTGCAGTAATTATATTAGAGTACGAAAACAAACATTCGCGAGTCTTTTTACTGAAATCTCAAAAGCAAAAGTGGCTAATAGGTTCACATCGTATATATGGTTCAAAAAGGATAATTAACTATCCCTGAAGAAGAAAAAAGATTGTAAACATTCAGTACTTCGAGTTATATAATTAGAAAAACTATAAACAGAGACTTTACGATTAAATATAGTTACAAAAAGTCAATATTAGAAATACTGACTTACAAAGTCTACTATTATTAAATTATTCAATAATATATTATTTACAAAAGAATAATAAAGCTAAAAAATCAATTATGTATATTATTGAATTTATTACTTCATTGACGAAACTGTTCATCAGTATATTTACTTGACATCACTTTACAAAATGAAATGAATAGATTATTAGTGCTTATACTTTGAATTAATATATATATAATTCAAACTTCTTATTTGTGATTTTAGAAAATTCGGAAAAAATAATTGTCGCAAACAACATTTTCTAGTCGGTATCTAAGATAAATTATATTCATTTCTTACCAAGTGTGGGTTAAAATAACTTGGATTTCAATACAGTCCTTTATGAAATCCGAATTTTCTATGCTAATTTGTTAAATCCCATGTAAGAAAAAGTAAACAAAGTTCACTTATAAGTAATTTTTTATGTTAATTAAGTAGAATAAAGTGACTTTTTTTATTCTTTTTTAATTTGCATAGTACTTTAGAATACTTTTCCCACCTATCAAAGTATTTAATCATATTTTTACTACCTTCGAAGTATGGTTTATTACTCTTTTGGACTTCCTAAAGTACTTTTTAGCCAAAAAGTATGAAAAATATTTAAAAACGTTCACTTATAAGTACTGTTCTCTGACCAACTATTGAAAGTACATCATAGTCACTTTTATGGGTCAAAATTTTTACATGGGATATTTTGCATGAACAAAACAATCTGGGTGAATGACGTTTTGTACCACCCTTTCTGAACACCCTGTTTTCCGACATGAAGTCCGTTCCGAACATCCTCACTATTCGGTATGCGGAATGAAAAGGTGGTACGAAACGTCATTTTCCAAACAATTTACTTGTTGTAAATTTAATCACACTTTGGTCTAATCGTTATCGGAAACATGTAACATATAACTATTATAAAATCTTTTCCTCCGCCACAGGATTTTATTCATATTTGCTAATACCTTTCTTTAAAAACTAGAAATTCAAAACCCAACAAATCATTTATAATTTTCAATCAATCTTCGATCGAATCTAGACATAATCCAAACTTGACTGACAGTTTCTATTTCAGTTTGTGTCGGCTACATACATATATGACGCCCAGAAGGCTTTTTCTGCTTACTTTTCATATACAGAAGGTATTATTTGTATACATAAATGACAACTGAAAAAACGCTCAAACCGCTTGGGCCATGTCTACTCAAATCTAACAAGGAAAAAATTGATTTCGTCCATTTTTACTTACGATATAAAAGCTACGTTTTTGATATTATGTCATATCACATAATTTTTAAATTATAGTAAAAAAATATTATAGAAATAATTATTCTGATCATCAACAAATAAAATAAAGTTAATTTTTCTTTTTCTGAAATCATTCACCGTTTCGCTGCACATACACATCCATACACATACAAACGTTTACATGATCTGACCGAGACGACGATATATACTTCAATATATAAATCGTCAACCGGGATACACAATAAGCACACAATACACAATTTCAATTGAAGAAAGAGAGAGAGAGAGAGAGACAGAAAAGAAATTGAAATCATGAAGTAACAAGATAGGAATACATCGGATTGTGTAGAAGATGTTGACAAAAAAGTGTTTGCATCGTTTCAGCTTTGATCGAATAAAGACTTGAAAGAAAAAGTAGAAGTTTTGAATAAATTGATGCGACATTTATTGTTATATTATTATCATTTATATTCGTTACAGATGATTGTTGATGATTTAATGATTGTTTAAGACTTGTTAATTGTTTAACATATAGTTCTTGTAAATTTGTATTATCATTAATTGCTACAAATCAACACACAATTATTTTGAGCAAAAACAAAAAATATCCAACTTACCTTCTTGCATACTTTTAATAACAATAATACGACGTATATGATCAAATATATTTGAATCAATATTAAATCGTGAACCTTTTTGTAAAATCGAACATAATTTATATGCATCTTCTTCTGGTACACATGCATGTTGATGTATTGAACATGAATCATGATCAATTGTTGTTAATAATATTGAATGTGTACAAAGAATAAATTGTAAATTAACAAAACGTCGTTCAATAAAATATGTTAATAATAATTGTGACCAACATCGTCGATGATATGTTGATGTTGATATCGAATCAATTAAACATGTACTTGCTTGTAACCAATTTGTTATTTGAGTTTGTAATTCATTATTTGATGATGATGGTAAATAAAGACGACGTAAACGAAATATATGATGTCCTTGTTTCGACATATCACTATCGGATATAGCATCACGTAATAATGATTGATTATTATTATGAATTAGATTTAATTTTAATTGAACAAGAGGATTTGATTGTCGTAATATGGTACATAAACGATTTTGTCTTGATGATTGATTATTATCATCCGAAAAATAATGATTTTCAATATCACTAATGTCATCATCACTATTACTGTCAAATTCTTCATTGATATTATTATTAGTAGTAGTAGTACAAAAGAATTTGTCTACTAATATCGATGGTGAATTAATAAAAAGATTTTCATTATCTTCGTCATCATCTTCATCACTCGAGGAATCTTTATCATTATCATTTTCACTAGAATCATTTGTTAAATTCATCGATTTAATGTCGAATTATCTTAAATAAATAGAATTTTGTTTTTTTATTTAGATTATTGACTTATAGTAATATGAAGAAGAAGAATAAAACGATATTTACCACTTTAATACAACTAAAGTAGTTGATATTTGGTCAGCATAGATTATATTTTTCAATTTGGTGCAATATTGTCATTGAAGTATACATCTGAAAGTCACAAAAAAAAACTATTAACAACTATAGTCGATGTCTATTTATCTCATTCTGTATATCTATCTTTTTCTTCCTCGTACACAAACACACACACACGCTGTAAACAGCAACATCGGCAGCCGAGAGTAGCCTGAAGGAAGAAAGAAGAGAAGGACAAAATACGGTTCTTTCCCTCTCTCTCTCCCTCGGTCTCTCTTACTTTCATTCTTGCTCGGTTGATGCTCATGAATGAATGAGGTTGGGAAAGAAAGAGAGAAGAGAAAGAAAGAAGGGCATGTAAAAATAAGTTTTGATGACCTTGAATGCTAGAAACAAAGATGAAGACAAGAACTAAATAAATGGTACACACCTCTATGTAAATGACACCGGAAAGTGTTAACCTTGAGCGGATGTAATCAATTCTTAATAGGAGTTTATATATCATATATGTTCTAATGTTTGATAAGCTCGCATAGCTTAATATTATCTTACCATTATTTTTTTAAGACGATTGCTCGTATCTATCTTGTACTTATCCACTTCAAAAAACAAAATTATATACCTAAGTTCTCGTTTTCGTTTTTTATGTTTTATTATAAAATGACAGTATCGTATAAACAAATCGAACTCTGTCCCAAATATTATAATAAACAAATGACCTTAATCGAAATGGGTTGCATGCTGTAAACTAAGCGAAAACAAAAAAATCTCTTTTTTTTTTATTTCTTTCTCTTATACAAGCCTTCATGTCATTTTTTGTTTTCCGTTCTCTCTCTCTCTGTCTCTGTCTCTTTTTTCCTTCTCGGTGAAGGTGAAGTCGTGTTTTTGCTTTGCAATTGCATATATGAAGGCGTTTATATGACTCTATTACTTACTGATGACAAAACCTTCAAAAACATCCGTTGTTATTATCATTTATGTTTTCCAATATAAATGTACGCGTATGTCGTCGTATTTTGACTTTATTTTTCAATATACACGTACTCGACTAATGATAGAGACAAGAAAGAATTCTAGTGTTGTTATTGTTGTTGTTGTTATCCCTATGGTGTAATGTTGTTATGTAGACCTTGGATAAGAAAAAAAGACCGAGAACAAAAATATGATGTCTTTACATATTGAAGAACGATCGAAAAGACCTTGCACACACACATACAATGCCATTGAAAAGACAAGAGAAAAAACGTCAAGTTTATCAAGGAGAATATCAGATAGATATTTTATAGATTCTCTTTTTTTTCTTCTTCTTCTTCTTTATTATGATGTTTGTATGAAGATACTTGGCCTTATAATGAAAAACACAAATATTTTATCGTTAATTTAACCTACAAGACTGAACTTGACAAAAGAGTTGTTTATCATTTAGTAACTAGAAGAAGAAGAAGAAAAAAACGTATTCTCATGAGAATTTACTTGAAAAATAAACAAGATAACGATAATGAAAATAAATATATATATATCTACAAGGTTTTATTATAGAAAAAAAAGGGCTAGACCTTGAAGAATCAATAATCTCAAGCTAATATTATTATTTTATATTTTATCAAATACGTAATTGACCATATTAAAATGAATTTATTGATGTAATACTATTCTTTCGATTACTTTTTTCACATATTCTATCGCGAAATGTTGATTGGAATTTCTTTCTTTTTTTTTGTTGCTTCTCAGACATATGTTTATGTCGAAAACTAAAACTTGCTTTTATTCCTTGATGTCTGAAGGTTCTTACAAGGTTTACTCATTAGTTATCGATCAATGTGTAAGTCATGCGAAGGTTGAAGAAATCCAGAAAGATGGATAGATAGACAGATAGACAGACAAGGATAAACGAAAGGAACAAATAAATTCTCGCAACCTTCTTCTTCTCTAATATGCAGGTTGGCAGCAATATATCTTGTCAATGGCACATTTTTTGATTGCATATGTTTTTTTACTTATATATAAATATGTTATTAAGATTCTATTCGATTAAAAATACATGAATAGATATTCAACGTGTTAAACAACTGTTTTGTTTTGTTTTTCAGAAAAATAAATCTAAAAAAAAGACAATATATTCTCACCATTGAATGAATTAGAGTAGAATAAATGTTTTCGTTTCGTTTTAACAAGTAGAAAACAACATATTTAACGATACTATCGAGGGAAAAAATATGTCATGAATCCCTGGATGCTATGTCATTTAATGAATTTAATAAGAAGAAAATATTTATGTTCTATTATTTTCATAAAATAACACGAGACAATTCGAAGATATTCGTGTAATCAATTTAAATTTAGTTTTTATTGAATAGATGAAATTCCAGTAGCATACAAAAGACAACATGAATTGTTTCTAAATGTAACTGCAAGCTTCACATGGATTTTATGACTTATATAATGAACTAATGTTCCAGATAGTGTTCTCTGCGGTGTTAAGTTTAGTCAGTATATCACAATAAACTTCCATCAAATTTATTTTTTTAGTTAAAAATCGATTATGGAACCCGTATTCATATTTCGAAGTATTATATTTCAAAAGGCCATTAGAGTTTGTTATGATATATTATTTGAATAGATTATGCTCGTTAAACTTCTTTGCATCTTTTATTTGCATGACAGTATTATAAGTGCTGACATTTTTGTTTATGAAAGATAATAAGATATTGATAAGTCAACTATAATATTTCGGTACTTTCATTTTTAATGTTGCTAGACTGAAGCAAATTAATAATTTTCATGCTGAATGAACAGATTACGCCCTAAGTACTAGACAAAAATTGAAACACACTTAAAAAAATCTTTTACTCGAAGAATTACGATGGAATACATAAAAATTGAAGATCTGCAAGATGATAGATTTACTTGTATTCTTAGATAGTAATACAATTCTATGTTTCGTGAAATATCCTAACGATCTCTAAAAATGAGTATGACAAATTATTCAATATAACTACGTTCATTAAAATAACAGATAATCGATAAACTTGTATAAAGTATTTTTTTATTAATAAAAAAGTAAAAAAACAAACAAAGAACTCTTTATATCATCTAATAATGTTTTATTTCTTCGATGTTGGTTCATTTAATGCTGATCGTTCATGATCAGTTACTGCTGGTTGATCATAATCACTTAATGAATAAGTAGTAGCATTTGTCAGTTTTTGTCTTTCTTCAAGACGACAAAAAACACATAAAAGTGCACCTGATGATGATGTATCATTATCATCACGTTTCATTTTATTTGTAGAAAACTGTTTTCCACATCTTGTACACTAAATTCAAAAAGAAATCCATATAAAAATCGATGTTTTTTTTGCCAACTCACGTGAGCCATTTTTGCTGTTTTAGTATTATCCATGACTTGTTTTATATTATCACAATTTTCAATATGCCATAAACGAATATCACAATCCTTAAAATAAACGAAAATTTTAAAAATGATTTTTATGAAAAAAAATTTATATTATACATTTGATACTGATACAATCCATTTATTATCAGTTGTTAAACAGACATCAGTAATCCAATCAGAATGACCCTATTAGAAAATGAAAAGTATATATACCTAAATGATAAAATATTTTAATCCTTCTTACCCGTAAGACAATTTTATGTGTCATATTTTCTAAATCCCATAGTACAACTCGTAAATCATACCCTCCTGTGACAAGAAGCTGTCCGTCATCTGACATGTAACATGCCGCGACTGATCCTTCATGTACTTTTGGTAACACTAAAGGGCCTTCACGTCTATAAAAAGAAAAAAAAATAATATACATATCATTCTGAACAGTTGACATGCTCAGCAGGTAGAAAAAAAAGAAGGGGGAGGAGTATGTAAAGAAGAACATCTGAAAAGGCCATCTCATTAATTTGAACACCCACAGAGTATAAATGGAATGGCAAGAACTAATTGTCTTGTCGCTCACCTAAAGCTACCAGTTGTAGCATCATAAAGAAGTACATTTTTATCCCATGAACACGTTGCATATAATCGTTCAAATCTATTAAATGCACAACGTGATACAGAACTTTCGTGACCACTAGAAGAAGAAGAAAAAAAAACATTTTATTAATTATTTTCATTAAAAATTCTTTTCTATGATGGTTATATTGGATAAAATCAATCTTTTAAGCTTTGTATCATTGATTGACAAGTCAGTTAATCTATATCTACACTACCTTAGTGTCATTGTAGAACGATGAGAGACAAGATCAAAAAATTTTGTTGTTTTATCCATTGATGTTGTTATGATACGATCGCCTGATACATTAAATTGACAACTTGTTATAGTTGATTCATGTACATGTGGTATACGAGTTGATTCAAGACCACTTGTTGTATCCCATATCGTAATAATACTATCCAAGTCAGTACCTGAACATAACGATCGACCATCAGGAGATAATTGACAACTTGTAACAATATGTTCATGAACACCTTTCCACTAAGAATTTAAAATCAAAATAAATAACATAAAACGAATAAATAACTTTACAATTTCTTTGCCAGTTTCAACATCAACACAACGAACTGTTTTATCCCAACTACATGAATAGATACTAAAATAACATTGCTTAGTTAATTGTTATAATATCCTATTATGTATATATATATATATACCGAGTTACTTCTTGATTGACCCGTACTGCTGGTATCTCTGCCATATCATGATTAAGTTTATATGAATTAATTTGTTTGCCACTATTAAAATCCCACACACGAGCCGTTTGGTCATTTGATCCTGTAAAAAGCCAATTTTTATTTTCAATTAATTGGCATGAACTGATTGGTCCAGTATGTCCATGATACAATTTAATTTCAACCTACAATTACATCTATATATATATTCGATTGCATCAAACTATACGACCGACGGTAGTGAAAAGGTAAAGAGTATCTAATTTCAATTGATGAATAGAAACAGAGAAGAAAAAAAAGAACAAAACGAAGGAAATTCTTGACAATGATGATAACAAATCTTTTGATCAAGAAAAATTAGACTACAAAAAAAGACATCCGTTCGATCATAATAATGAGTAGAACCTCATTACATTCCGTACTCATATCGTGATTAGCAATTGAATAATAAATGCACGGACGGATTTTTCTTTCTTGCTTTTTATCAACCCTTAGGATAGACATACACATCTGCGTAACAGTAACAAGGAAATCATCAGTATTTTCTATTACATCATAGAAAGGTAAGCTTATGATAATAGGCATCATGTCGTGACCTGACTGTTGTGTTAGAAGTATAGAGGCGGGCGAGTGTTCGTCATTGTGGCTCATCCATTCTCACTACCAATGACACCTCCCATTGAGAGCAAGATTAATCACTAAAAAGGACAGGTCAGGCGATCAATCATATCGTAAAAAGTTATGCCGTATTGTAAACAAAACAAAAATAGGACCTACTTCTGCTGAACTTTCATGAACCCATTCAGCATTAGATGCAAGGGGTTCGGATAATATATTCGTATGACGTGTTTGTAATGCCATTGATTTTGTTTTCTTTCTTTTTTTGTACTTTTTTTCTTTTACTGGAATCTATTACATGTGAAAATTTACAGTTCTTTTTTTTTTATTCTTTTTCTTCTTCGATCAATTGAACAAACATATACCGACACTTTTCGTCTCTGAGGTGATGACGATGAAAGAAAATAAAATGAAGAACAGAACAAATCAAAATAAAAACTACTCGTTTCTTTATTCATGTAGAATTTTATATTAAACGGAAGTTTCTTGATGACATTAAAAGATTTTTATTCTATTCAAGTGTATCTGATGATGTTTTTCAGTTAGTTGAAGTAACTGAGAGAAAAAAAAGTTGTGAATGAATTACCTTAATTGTAAAGTTAGAAGAACAGAAAAAAGACATTGTTCTCTTTCTCTCTCTCTCTCTCTCTCTCTCTCTCTTTTTTTTCTCTTGTCTTCTCCTCTCTTCTCTTCTCTCTATGTCTCTTGATGCTTAATCGGGAACTAGAGGAATGCTCATCATCTACTGTTCATAATTCAACTTAGCAAATCTGCAAAATTTTTCTTCCGTTGAACATCACGCCATCCTTCAAATAGATAATAATACGAATATTATAGATTATCAAAAATGATTGTGGTGTACAATAGACACCTCTTCTAATACATTTTAAATTTTAAAGTAAGTTCTTTCATGTGAAAACTATTTATATATATATATATGTGCATTTACCATGACTGACAGACAGGCAATGAGAAGTCAATCGATAATGAACAATCGAGCATGACAATTGTTTCATTTGAATTCAACTTTTACTTGTTTTCTTTTTCTTTTAAAAATTAATAGAGTTGAACAAGGTGTTACTTATTATGCAAGTATATACACATACATACATATCGATTAGTAATGTCAGATATGAAGGTTTTGTTTTGATATAAAAGAAAATCTGTTGCGTCGTATAATGTAATGATTACAATATTCAAATGTTGAATGAAATATTGTAAGAATAGAAGACAATACATATACATATACACAAAGGAAACAAGTCCATTTGTGTGAGTGATGATTGATCATGTCTTTTGCTTTAGTTATATATAGTATGTATTGCATCATGAATGCCGTTAGGAGATTCAATATGTATGTGCGCACATAAGATGAACACGTGCACAATTGTTCAGACATCATAGGAAACTAAATCTTATTCCTTCCTTTTTCTTTCTTACGTTGCCTTATGAGCATTGATGCGATCCCGTGTGTCATTCATCATAATTTATATCGATCTAATTTCAGATTCTTAGTTTTGTCTTTCTCATTATTGTTATAACAACTTTAATAGTAAAAGAATAAATTATTATATATTTCTCTCTCTATCTTTCTCTGTTCGCTCCGTCTGACTTATTGAACAATCTTTTGTCTGTATGAGCTGTTGCGTCTATTCTTTTTATGTAATAAATCGTTCAAGTGCTTGTAGTGACTTAAAAGTTAACTCTCTCTTTTTTGTCTTTGTTCTTTCCATTGTCTACTCTCCCTGTCTATAAGGGAATACATGTGGAAATGAGACAGACTGAACAGTTGTTCGTTCTCTTCTATTGTTGACATATGGCAAAAGCTACATAGAATCAAGTTTCATATAAACATATATCTACGTCAATTAATTGTTTGGTCATTAGAAGAAAAGAAAAAGTAGCACATGTATGATGTATTACAATGAGTAAGTGTTTTTCAATAGTATTTTGAACGATTGGAATGACGTGATTATAGACATTAGTGAATAAAAAAAAATTTTCTTTGTGACATAGACAGACAAATTTGATACTCAGGGTTAACATTATCGTCTATTATTATATGCAGTAGCTAAACAACAAATGAGATTTTAATTGAGAAGAAAGCGATAAAAAGAAAAATCGAAATTTTCTATGTAAGGCGTGTGTATATATATATCAAATAAAAGAGAAAAAGAAAAAGAACAATCTAAGTGACGTCTACTACTCAAAAAGTTAATCACACCCGATACATATATGATTGTCCCAAGCGCTTAGTCTATGTCTTATTATTATAGACGCAATGTGGCAAACGTTTACCGATAATAATGCTCAACTTATCACTTCAAAGATTTGCTAATTTTATCATTTTATATCAACTTTTATTATCATATACAAGTATGTAATTAGTCTTATGGGGATAAATGATTATTAGTTGATTTTTCTTTATATTTTAATAGTAAATGGATCGACAACATCAACAACAATGTATGCTACATGTGGTACTGATGTTGAACTAACTTGTCCAATTCGTTCAATAAAAAAGTCCGATGAAGTGGTATGTCCTTGTAATGAATAGAAAATTAAATTAATTGAAAAAGATAAATCTCTAAAGACTAATAGAGAGAAAATTTTTATTTATTTCCCAAGAAAGATTATTCATTGAATTTTAGATTTCATGGTTTCGTCCAAATTCATCTCATAATCGTTTATCATTTATTGCTATTGGTGATATTCTTCTACCAGAATATGCATCCATAAGTCGTTTTAATCTTATATCATCATCACTTTCTCGTTTATTAATAAATAATGTTTTAATCGAAGATCAAGGTTATTATAAATGTAAATCAAGTTCAACTGGTCAACATAGTATTAAACTTATTGTTAATTGTATGTTTTTATTTAAGAGGAATTGAGAAAAAAGATAATTTTTTTGTAAAATAGCTCATCCATATCTCTCTCTACCATCACCAATACTTCTTTATCCAGTCAATCGAACATTTTCAATAACATGTTCACTTTTATGTGATTCATCTATTGACTTTAATAATTTAATTTGGCTTGTTAATGGACAACCATTAAATGAAGATAGACATGAATTTTTAATTGAAACAATTTCATTTAATACACAACGTTTAACAGTATTTTTACATAAGAAAAATCATCATTTTAATCAAGCGAATTATACATGTAGATATAATGGAAAGGAATCATCGGTTTTAGTTAGACGACGAACGAGTATGTATTTTCTATGAAATTATTTCTAAAAGTTAAAATAAAGAATGTAGATCTTTTCATTATTAAAAAATTATGAACTAAAGAGTAACCTTCTACGATAAGTAGTCATTCTTTTTTTTTTAGGAAATGAATATTTTAATAAAGACTCGCCCTTCTTATTTCAGTTTGCCAGAAATATTTCTATTTGAGTGAAAAATCAATAAAATAGCCGGAACATTTCCAAGGTTGTGCCAATCCTTCTACTAAAGGCTTTAGCAGTTAAGTGGATTAGTTCGTACTATAATAATCTGACAGATCTATCAAAGAAATCTTTTCATTGTGATTGTACCGTGCATTACATGTAAATCATAACAATACTTTCTTATATCTTGATTCACTCATTAAAAGTCGATCTAAGCTCAGGGACATTTTAATTTCAGAGTATGCTGCAAATTGGATAAGAAAAGATTGCCTGAATAATCAATCTGATATCATGACATGTCTCTGAGATAGCTATTAAACTCAGGCTAAAATCGGCACATCTGCCGATTCGAAAGTTTCCCGCAAGATCTCATTTCACTAATTAAATTTATTCAGTTGAAAATACCATTTCTTACGTTTTATATATAGGAAATTATTAACGAAAATCATTTTGATCTCTACTCTTTGATCAGATAGCAATTCATAATTATCTTTAAACTATTAAAATTTAACATATCGATCTTTTATTTTATTTTAGAAGAAGAATTACATCGTTTACCACGTCAACAAGGTTCATCATCTGCTTATTTACTTCAAACAGCATTTGATACAGGTCAAACACAATATCAATCATCATATAAATATCTTCTAATATCATTATTGTTATTAAAAATAATCAATTGTGCAATCTAATCTAATAATGATTAGTTCTTTTATTGTTTTTAGTATCTTATTTTAAATAAATTTAAATTAAATTGTGTGACGATGACGAAAGAATATTAATTGTTGTTTCTAATGTACGATAAGTAAATTCGATAGATTCATGATTAATATCTGTCATTGTTGTTGTTCGATTATTAAGAATCATTTGAAGTTTATTAATAGTTTGTTCAACTAACAATTTCTTTTCATGTTCATTTAATGAATTCGTATCATATGAAACATCAATAGTATTTCCATTCGAAGTATTAACTTTTATATTAAGTATTTGATCTGTTTCATATGGATGATTATTTAAAGCATTTTGTTCTTCAGGCGATATATTTAAATTAATTGTTATTTGACTAATATGATTCGGACGATGTTGTTGTTGTTGATTTTGTAAAATATCAATTTGTTGTTGACGTTTAATTTCTGTACAATTTGAACATAGTAAATGATGAGGTCGAGTTGAAAAATGTGGACGACCACGACGAGCTAATGGCAATGAAGAACGATTTGGTATATTCGTTCGAAGAAGACGACAACAGCTACATTCTAAATTAAACAAAATGTTTCATTGAATATTTTAAGATAATATATTCGTATATCAAAAAAGAAATGAATTTATTGATAATGGACTGAGTTTCGAGTTTTGTTCTTAGAAATTCATGATGATCGATTACGAAATGGAAGTACAAAGGGGATTTTTCAAATGCGTTCAAATTCTATACGAATAAAATGTTTGACAACCTTGAAAACATAATTAAAACTTCAAATTATAAAATCTAAATTTTTGCGATAAAAATGTTTGAATTTCTGTCAATAGCATGAACCTTGACGATGATAATAAATCAACAAGACTGACACATTCATAACAACTAATCACTAACAGGTAGATATTTTTTTATCTAATAGAATATTATCGTTAATTCTGTGACAGATTTTTCTATATTCAGTATTTATTTACAAGAAGAAAATTTTGTTCTTTTCCTCTGTATGATAGATAGAAAAAAGAAAGTCTTTGTCACGTCCAGTAGCAAAATTTCATAGGTATCAATATAGAGAATAAGAAAATATTATTTGTAATTTTAAGATTTCAGTTCTTAGCCTAAACTCAATCATTGATCCTAAACATATTAATTGCATATAATAATAGAATTTAGGGTACACAAACTAAGAACAGGAGTACAATTTTATAATAGAATTATTTTTATATTAAGGCTTATAAGGAAATAAACGTCAATTCGTTACAGTAGTTCTCTATAACAATGAAAATAGGTTCATTGCGTTATATGATTTACTTTCGATGAACTTTTTTTCTCTTACTCATTTACGTCCCAGCGTTACTATTCTTGTTGATTATTTATAATTCACTATGTGATTACCTTGTTCATTTAATATAGTTAAAAATTCATTATTTGAAAAAATTGTTTGTTGTTGAGATGATGTTTGATTTGTTTTTAATGTGTGCAATGCTTGATCGACATCAGTTGACGTTAATTTCCGGTATAATATATTGAATTCATTGGTATGTTTATTAATCAATTCCACATCGAATATATTTATATCGTCATTCATTTTTTTTTTGACAAAATAATATCAATAAATGAATTTTATTTGTAATAATCGCTTATATACTATCTTGCGAAATTTACATATGACTGTCTCGATGGTTTAGATATATTCTTTTCATTTTCAACCTGATTAAAAGAATGAAAGGAGACAAATGTACGTTGAATTTCTTTCTTCTCTCTTTTTTTTGTGTTGGTCGTTATACGAATTTACAGTTGGCAACCATGATATAATCTTCATTGTTCTTGTGCAAACATATATTTATATGGTTAGATATTTTGTTTGAGCATAGATACTGCACAAGAGACAATAAAAATTGATTATAGGTTTTATTTAGTCATGCGTTTGAAATTGATTTTGTAAAGATAAGATTAAATTAAATACCTGCAGACTGTCAAAAGAGGCATACTTGCAAAATAAATAAATTTTTGGAAAGGTAAGGATATATTCGGATTGCCCGAAGAATTCTCTACAAATCTCAATATGAACGTTCTAAATTACACTTGTTCACTGAAAATAAACTTAAACACATTAAAGGTACTCTCTCATCATCAGATTCCGCGAAAATGCATTTTTTGCTCTTCATGTTTTTTCAAATTTATTTTTAATATAAAAGTACAGGGAGATAGAGTTTTTCATGCACTTTCAGATTATGTATTTACTTTTGTAACGATTCGCTTCAATATAAAAATAATAAAAACGAAAAAAGAAAATCTCTAAAAAATGAAGAGAAAAAATGCATTTTTGAGGAATCTGATGATGAGAGTAGCTTTAATGTGTTTAAACTTATTTTCAGTGACCGAGTGTAATTTAGAACGTTCATATAGAGCTTTGTAGAGATTTCTACGGGCTATCCGAATATATTCCTACTTTTCCAAAAATGTTAATTTATAGTAATGATATGTGGAAAATACTATGTAAAACTATTTCTGTCCAGAAGGATATATATAAAACATGGTTGTTAAAACTGTACAGACTGATTTCAAGTGTTAGTGATAAGAGAATTTCTTAGTGATTAGTGACGTTGTATGTATTTTGTAAAGATTTTCCAATGATTTCTATAATGTACTTACTGCATCGATGAACGAGAATTAACTATTTCAATATGTTAGAAACAATCTACCATACAAAAGAAAAGTGAGAAGATTGAATATTGAATCTGGCTTTTCTTTTCTGCTTATGTAAATCTAACAACATTCACAGATAGAACGCACATTATACGGTTAGTAATAAGAACGGAACTATTGATATACAATCTATGTCAAACATTAGATTCCTCTGACATTTATCGGTAATGGGCGGCATCTATCTGAATATTTTTAAATGTATATAAAAGAAAATAAACTGTTGGTAAGATCATTAAATCAAATGTGATTTGTTTCAAATGATAAAAACTTAATTTGTTTGGTTAACCACATTGATTAAAGAATATGTCAATGGTTGAAAAAAAGGCATCTCTCAATCCACGTTATATCATATAGTCGTATAGTATTGGTAGCGGTGCCCTACTCTGCCTGCCCTCCTTCCTTCGTTTCGTTCCTTCTGTTTGTGTATGTATCTCATCTCTCTCTCTCTGTCTTCGTCTCGTTCTATCTTCTATACCATTCCTCTGTCTCTGTCTCTGTCTCTCTCGTTATGGGGCCGGCCAAACGATCGGCGTCAGAGTGACTGAACGAACCTCTGACCTTCCTATATTGACTATTATTTGAGTTGTTATTTACTATTTTCTTCTCAAGAAATTTTTTCTTTTTATAAATAAATAAAACTTTACTATATATTTATTCAATATTCTAGCATGAACAATGGTTCTTTGCCTGTAAAAGGCAATATATCTCGAACAACAACAACAACAACAACATCAATAACTGATCAATCATTGCGAACATCATTAATACGTAATACAGATCAAGATACATCACTCGATTTAACTGACGTTTCAATTCTATCTGTTGGTCTTACACGTTATCAACATCACGATCACGGAATGTTAACTGACGATGATGATGATAATGAACTTGTAATAAGAATAAAATAATTATTCAAAAAACAAAATAAATAAATAAAAATTATTATTGTTGTTTTCTAGGTAGAAACCAGTGATGAAGACGATGATGATGACGAAGATGATGATGATGATGATGAACCATTTCCTACACATTCTCGTAATACATTATTAAATAATACTAATAATAATAATAATGATGATATGGATCTTGGTTTAATTGATCCTGATACTCAAGCTAAATTAGCTGCCATACTTGAAGCAACTGGTATAACAAATTCTCCTATTCCTGAAGATTTTTGGCGTGATCAACAAGTTGTACGTTTATTAACAAGTAGTGTAACAAATAATTTAAATGGTTTACATGAAATTGCTAATGCTATCTCACCATCAAATACAAATCTCAGTGGACATCAAGATAAAAAATCTAAATCAATAAATAAAGACACGTATGCAAAAATTTTCTTATTGAAAAAAGAAAAAAACAACAACATGAAAAAACATTTTATGATTTCTAGATCAGGAACATTTGTTCGTGCTTGTGTAAATAATGATATACGAACTGTTGAAAAAATTCTTCAATCAACAAATGGAAACGAACATTTAAATGATGTTAATGAAGATGGTGATAGTGTTTTAGCTCTTGCTTGTTCAAATGGTTATACGGATCTTGTACGATTATTACTCACAACTATACCTAATATTGATATTGATGATAGAGGAACTAAACAAGATTGTACACCATTAATGGAAGGTTTGAAAGACAAATATATAATTTTTGCTTTTTATGAAATTAAATATATATTCTTTAGCATGTAATGCTGGTCATTATGAAATCGTTGAACTTTTATTGAAACATAATGCAAATGTAAATATGCAATCAACATCTGGAAATACTGCACTGCATTATTCAGCAGGAGGAGTAAGAAATTTGTATATGAAATAATATTGATTTATTTTTTTGTCTTCTACTCAAAGGGTTATGCAGATATTGTTCGACTTCTACTTGAAAATGGTGCTAAAGTAGAAGAAACAAATGAAAATGGACATACTCCTCTTGTAGATATAAAGAAAAAGATTTTTCAAATATATTTATTTTCCTTTGTTTTTAGATGGAAGCTGCCAGTGGTGGTCATGTAGAAGTTGCTCGAGCATTACTTGATCATGGTGCTGGTGTTAATACACATTCGAATGATTCGAAAGACAGTAAAAATGATTAATAATTACTAATAGAAAATAAATGAGAAAAATTGTTTTTTTTATTCTTATAGAAAATGGAAATGATAGTAAACAACATAAAACAGATGAAATGCATACAGGTAAATATTTCAATTATGAAAAAAATTTTATAAAGTTATTGAAAACAGCTGAAATGACTCGAATTAATTAGTAAAAAAATATTTGTAATCAAAATAAAATATTCTCTTCTTTTTCTATATTGAATTGAGAAAATTTCTAGAACTTGTCTATGTTTAATAAGAAAAGTAATAGAATTTTTTCAATAGTCACGTCCACTCTATTAATACATACCATATGATTCTAATCGAGATTTTTGACATGATAGCTATCATCCACTAATAGTAATCTAAACAAAGTTCGACTAGTTTTTTTTTACAAAACAAGAAATTCATAATTATAATATTTCTTATATAGCTTTAATGGAAGCATGTATGGATGGTCATGTTCAAGTAGCAAAATTATTACTTGATCATGGCGCTGATGTAAATATGCCACCAGATAGTTATGAAAGTCCACTAACATTAAGTGCATGTGGTGGTCATATTGAATTAGCATCGTTACTTATTGAACGAGGTGCTAATCTAGAAGAAGTTAATGATGAAGGATATACACCATTAATGGAAGGTTTGTTAATATTTTTTCAATTGAATAAAAAACCAAAACAAATTTTTTTTATTTATTTCAGCTAGTCGAGAGGGACATGACGATCTTGTAAATTTACTTGTATCTCAAGGTAATATATATAGATAGATTATTTATACATAATCTCTGTTATATTCAGGTGCTGATGTCAATCGAACAACTGAGGATACACAAGAGACTGCATGTATGTCTATGTTTAAATGAATTGATTTCTTTTTTTTCTAAATAAATATTTATTTTTATTTAGTAACATTAGCATGTGCTGGTGGATTTTTAGATGTTGCAAAAATCCTTATATCCAATGGAGCTAATGTTAATTTAGGTCAATCAACTCCTCTTATGGAAGCATCACAAGAGGGTCATGTAGAATTAGTTCAATATTTAATACAAAATAATGCTGATGTTAATCAAACAACACCAGCTGGAGAGACTGGTAGTTTTTTTATTTTGTTTTGTTTTGTTTTTTTATTAAAAGTTTATAATAAATATATAGCTTTGGCTTATGCATGTGAAAGTGGTCATACTGAAGTTGCTGAAATTTTACTTAATTCTGGTGCACATATTGATCAAACTGAAAATGAAGGTCGAACTCCATTAATGAAAGCATCTCGAGCTGGACATACATGTACAATACGATATTTAATTTCAAAAGGTTAGAATTAAATCAATAAATAAATAATAGAGATTTTTTTAATTTTCTATATATTAAGGAGCGGATGTTAATCGATCAACAAATAGTAATGATTCAACTGTTCTTTCGTTAGCATGTGCCGGTGGTCATCTTGAAGTAGCTTCATTATTACTTAAACATGGTTCGGATCCAAATCATCTTCTTAAAGTAAATTTCTTTTTTGAAAACAAGATTAACGAAAAATTTAATTTTTTTCTTCTTCTAAGGATCGATCAAATTGTTTAATTGAAGCGGCTAAAGGTGGTCATATAGAAATAGTAAAATTATTACTTGAATATCCAAAAAGTGTAACACAACGTGTAGCTCCAATAAATTCAGTTGAACCATTAGTAAATGATGAAAGAGGAGGAGAAGAAGAATCAGGTTTGTTTGTTTGTTTGTTTTTGTTTTATTCGAAAAAATTCATTTGAATTTTAATAGGAGATAATAAAAGATCTGCACAAACAACGAATTCTCCAATTCAATTACTTAAAAGTCTCCAAAAAATAGTTCCAAGAAATATTCTCGATGTTCTTCAAACTGGTGTTAATGAGTCAACAAAACTACATTCTGATAACGATATAAAAGGTTTTTTCAATAATATAATTAATAATAACATACGAAAAAAAAACATTTTCTTTAGATAATACAACATATTCATGGACAAATAATGATCGACCATCATCACCTATTTTAACTGATGAAACATTTCAACAATCATTAATACTAAATCAAAATTCTGAGATTAATAATACTCAACAAGCAAAAAAACTTCAGATACTCGGTAATAATTAATCTATGATTAAAATGAATGTTCTATTTCATAATTTATATGTTTATAAGGTCAGATTTTTTTTGTTCCTATGAACTGAATTGATAGACAAGATTAATACTCAATAGTATCTTTAAAGTATATTGATCTGTATTATCTATTTAGAACAACTTCAACATGTTGAAAAAGAACTTCATGATAAAGCTCAACAACATTTAAAAATCAATCAAGAATATCGACAACAAGTTAATGAATATGTGAATTCAAATCCTGTACAACCGCCACCTCCTTCTTCTTCAACGACAACAACTGGTAAAAAGAAACGAACAACATCTTCATCATCAACATCAAGTTCATCATCTGCTACTTCATCATCATCTTCCACAGCTAAACATGATGAGCAACCAACAGCAAATTTAACTTTATCACTTCCACCCCAAACAATTAATTTCTTTTCAGCATCGACAAGTGAAATTAATCAATCCTCATCAAATAATCTTCGTATATCAAATAAATCAAATATTCCACCATTACATCATAATCAACATCATCCGAAAATTAAAAAATCTTTTAATCGACAATTAACGAAATTTGATCGTCGATTAGAACAACATCTACATGATAATCAAACACATTTAGATGAAATGAATTTACATTTAAAAAATCTTAAATTACTTTCTCCACCACCACCACCATCTTCTTCATCAACAACAGAATGTTTAACAATATCAAGTCCAACAAAAACTCCTATGCATATTAATACTGATACACAAAAAGCACTTGAACATTTACGTGAATTAGCTAATAATCCATCTGAACTTGAACGTATACAAACATTAGCAAATAATCCAAATTTAATACATGAAATTAAAAAAATTGCTAATCAATCATTTATTGATCAATTAAAAACATTACCACCATTTGCACCAGCAAATTTACAACAAACAACAAATGAATCATTACCAATAGATAATAATAAATCTAATAATGAAAATCATGAACAGAGTAAGAGAAAAATTTACTTTTGGATATTTCTATAAAACTAATAAAATCTCGATCTATAGCATGTTCTTTTTTTAAAAGCTAATAAGTTGTTTGTATTTTCAGCACTGATACATACTGAACCAATTGTTCATTCTCAATCTGATTCAACAGTAAAAACAGTGACACCTTCCACTCAAATTTCTTTTCCACAACAACAACATGTATCTACGACTCAAAATTCAATCATAGAAGATAATCATCAGACTTCATTAGTAAACGATCTTCCTCCGCTACCTCCGTCTCTTACTAATCTAACACATACTCAACATTCAATATGTTGTACAGAATGTCCATCACATCCAACAAATATACAAAATACAGCATTATCTCATTTACGTTTTCAAAATCGAATAGATGTTGATTGTGAAACAGAATCTAATCATGATACAGCATTAACATTATCTTGTGCTGGTGGTCATGAAGAACTTGTTTCATTACTTTTACAACGTGGTGCCAATATTGAACATCGTGATAAAAAAGGTTTTACACCATTAATACTTGCAGGTATAATTTTATTTTTAAAAAATTCATTTACAAATCAAATCATTTTTTTTTCCATTTAGCAACTGCTGGTCATGCTAATATTGTTGCAAGATTACTTGAAAATGGTGCTATTATTGAAGCTCAATCCGAAAGAACAAAAGATACTGCATTATCTTTGGCATGCAGTGGTGGAAGACAAGAAGTTGTAGAAGTTTTATTGAAAAAAGGAGCTAATCGTGAACATAGAAATGTTTCTGATTATACTGGTAAAAAAATTTTTAATGAATATTTCAAATGAAAACTGATTTGATTTATATAGCTTTGAGTCTTGCTGCTTCTGGTGGTTATGTGAATATTATTCGATTATTATTAAATTATGGTGCAGAGATTAATTCAAGGTTATTCTTTTTGTATTATTAAATTTGTTATTGTTTTTTTTTCTTCTTAAAGGACTGGTAGCAAATTAGGAATAACTGTACGTATTCATTAAATAATTTAAAGAAAGACTTATGTTTTTAATTTTAGCCATTGATGCTTGCTTCGATGAATGGACATGTAGCGGCTGTTAAACTTCTATTAGATATGGGTTCTGATATAAATGCTCAAATAGAAACAAATCGCAATACAGCATTAACATTAGCTTGTTTTCAAGGACGAGCGGAAGTTGTTTCATTATTAGTTGATCGTAAAGCAAATATTGAACATAGAGCAAAAACAGGTTTAACACCTCTGATGGAATCTGGTAAGAAAAATTTCTTGATTTGTAATAGAAGAAAAAAATATTGATTTGATGTTTTCTTTTTGTAGCATCGGGTGGTTATGTTGATGTTGGACGAGTTTTATTAGAACGTGGAGCTGATGTTAACGCACCACCTGTCCCAACATCGAAAGATACTGGTATATAAACAAATTAATTGAATGAAACTAAGAATGAAAAAGAATGAAAGAAATTTAAAAATTCTATTAAATTTTAATAAAAAGCAGAAATTTGTTTCTAAAAAATTCTATTTTGTTTTAGCGTTAACTATTGCTGCTGATAAAGGTCATCATAAATTTGTTGAATTACTTCTTCTTTATGGTGCCACTATTGATGTTCGAAATAAAAAAGGTGCCACACCATTATGGCTTGCTTGTAATAATGGTCATTTGGAAGTTGTACAATTACTTGTAACACGTTTTGCTGATCCAGATTCCAGTGATTCTCGAAAAGTGTCTTGTCTAATGGCTGCCTTTCGTAAAGGACATAATAAAGTTGTCAAATATTTAGTTCGTCAAGTTCGACAATTTCCATCAGATGCAGATTGTCGTCGTTTAATCAGTACAATAACTGATAAAGTAAAATCTAACTATTTTTTGCAAATCTTTCATCAAAATTGTTTTGTAATTTTTAGGATTTATTAAAAAAATGTCAAACATGTATGGATCAAATCATATCAGCTAAAGAACGTCAAGCTGCTGAAGCAAATAAAGCTGCAAATAGTTTATTGAAAGAAATTGATTTAGAAAAATCACGTGAAGAAACTCGAAAAGTTGCTGCTGCAAAAAAACGTGAAAAACGTAAAGCAAAAAAGAAAGGTAAACAAAAATCAACAACAAAAACTGATGATGATCAACAACAACAAGACATCGATGATATTGAAGAAGAACATCATGAAAATGAAGAACCAATGGAACAAGAAATTGTTCCATTATCAACAACAACAACAACAACTCTTATTGTTGATGATGATCTTCGACTAAAAATGATTAAAACAGATAACGAGCAACCAATAATAAAACCTCCTACACCTGAACAACCACCACCGCCACCACCATCACCTCCTCCGCCTCCTCCACCACCACAACAACCACCAACAACAACAATATCAAAACAAACTACAAATACTAATAATAAAAAGAAAACAAATACAATGACACGTAAAATTGAACGTCATCAAGAAAATCTTGCATCAAAAAATAAACAACAGGATACATCTTCAACAGCTAGTGGAATAACTCTGCCTCCGGTTGACGATGGATGGCAAGAAGTTATTGGTAAACAGAAAAAAATAACTATACCACATGAACAATATTCACGTATTATTGGACGAAGTGGATCTAATTTAAATGTCTTACGAGAAGTAACTGGTGCATCAATTGATGTTGAAAATAAACGAGCAATTGGTGATAAAACAATATTAATTAAGTATGTTTCTTTTTCTGAATTTTGTTTGTTTTTTTTAATAATTTATTTAACAGAGGTAATGGTGATTCAATAAAACATGCTTATCAATTAATAATGGCATTATTAAAAAATTCGGAGTCAGAATTAATGAATCTCTTACCATCAAGTAATGAAACTAAAACAAAATCAAGATCAACAACAATTACATCTAATACTAATGATAGTAATGATGAAATAAATAAAATACAAAGACTAAATAGTACAAATTATGGATCGAGACCTCAAACTACTGGTAAATAAATTATTTGTTTCTTTTTTGTCAGTTTTTGATAAATTTAAATCTTTTTTTTTGTCTTTTAGAATCATCAATATCAGATACGTATGTAACAACTCCACCAGCGAAATTAACACCAAATAGTACTCGTTCATCAAGTAAAAAAGTAGGAATAACAAATTCGACGAATAGTTCTGGTCGTTCGACGTCATCTTCATCATCTACTATAAAGAATTCTCAACCATTAACAGCAACTGGTGCAACATGGGTAAATTCTAATCGATCAAATCGTGGTACAACATCATCATCAACAACGGCGACAACAGCAACAACAACAACTAATTCTATACCTTCAATAACATCTAATTCAACAACAGTATGGAATCATCAACAATCATCATCTAAACCTACTTCAATTCATAATAAAACATCCAACTCAAATCATTATTCGACAAATCAATCGAATATTCCATCATCATATCATTATTCATATTCAAATACAAATTCATCGAATAATCACAATCATTATGGACATTCAAATAAACATTATTCAACAAATTATCATCAAAAAAATGAACATACAACACCATTAGAAACGACAACAACAACAACAACAACTATTCAGCCATCATCAGTTCCTATGCTTCCATCTCAACCAGGTCATCGAATACCAATCTCACCACCTCCAACAACAGAAACAATCTCACCACCAGCACCAACATCATCATCATCCTTGCTTGTTGTTTCGTCATCTGCTACACCTACTCCGACTAATGTAACAACCACTGGAGAATATAATCCATTTGCTTCAAATATTTTAACAACATCAATTGTTGATGTATTAACTAAAACTAAAGAACCAATAACATCTATTGATGAATCAAATTCACTTTCAACAACAAAAATGAATTTTGCTAATGCTGCAAAAATGAATGTAACAACAAAATTATCTCATCATGAACCTATTGTTATTACAATGGATGAACCATTATCACCAACACCACCATTACCAGATCCAAAGATTGCACCTGGCTATCGTGGCCCAGCAAGTGCAGGTACAACACCAGTACATCATCATCAACAACAACAGCAACAAATGATTCGTACAACAAATTATGATTCACTTTCTCCAACATCACAATTAAGTCGTGCACCTGGTGCTAATAGACATCAACAATCTATATCACCATCCATGAATAAAGTACGTCTTGATCGTAATGGTCAAACAGGTTCATCAACAACATCATCAACATCCTCATCGCCATCATCAATAAAACAACAAACAAATCAATTTATTCCACCACAACAATTATTTACTTCATTAGATCAACAACAACAACAACAACAAAAACCATTTGGACCTATTGGATCACATCGTGCACCAGTACAAACATCAAATGATGGAATATACAATGAAAATTCTCTTCAAATGCGAACAAAATTTAATCGAACATTATCTGCAAATAATACTCCAGTATATCAACAAGTAACACCACCAGCAATGATGCTTAATAATCCAGCGTATGCAAATATGTCACGTAGTAGATCGAATCTCAATCCAAGTGCACCAGAATTTAATCATGGTAATCGTATGCCACCACCACCATTTATGCCAACGCCACCACAAGCGCCTATTTCGAATGGACCATTATCTGCAAATATCATGAATATTGCTCGTATGATGGAACAAAAACAGCAACAGCAATTATATACAAATAATAACAATGTTCCAGTGCATCCACCACCGCCGCCACCACCACCATCCCAGCTTCCACCTCCACAACCGATGGTATCACCACAAGTAATGCCTTCTCCACGTCCACTTCAACAAGCGGACATGGAAGCAATGCAGCAACATGTACAAAATCAAGTTTTACATTTTTGGCGTTTACATGCTAATCCACAACAACTTGTACCTCCACCACAATTGCCAACAACATTACAAATAGCTAATATATTAGCATCAAAAGGACAATTACCACAAGATCCAAATCAAGCAGCGGCACTTGTTGCTGCTTATTACTATACAAATTTTATATCACGAACGCAACAGCAACAACAACAACAGCCGCAGCAGCAACCAAATAATATTCCAGTATCGTCTAATGTAAATAAAAATGTTTATGAGACGATTAATACACCACAACAAGCCACTTCAAACAGTGATGATATACCACTAACTGCAGGTAAATATAAGCTATCTAAATATTTATTGATAATCAAAATGAAACTCTTTTTCTTTTATTAATATATTAGTTGATCCGATCAATGGACAAATTCAACCACAGGTGATTATTGATCCGAATGTTATCATTACCAATAGTAATCATTCAACCGGTCCTTCTTCCTCATCATCATCATCTACAACTGTCGATCATAAAATGGTGCCAGCTGCAATCGGCAGTGAGCGTAAACGTCATATACCTGTATCAACCACTATTGGTTCTATGCCAATTGGTAGTACTGGAGATTGGTCTTCCGTTTCAAAACGTAAACTAAATATCGAATTCATTTATTGATTTATTTTTACAAATCTTCACTTCTTCTAGAACCATATCCAATCGATCCATATATGCAACAACAACAGCAGCAGCAACAACAGCAACAACAAGTTCCACTATCATCTAATTATCAGCAACAATCGACTCGCGATTATACACGATAAAAAAAAAGAAATCTTTCTATTGGATTGAGAATAAAATGCATAGATTTGTCTCTTATTATCTAAAGATTTTGTTTGTTTGTTTTTTATTCATACACTCTTCATAACTATGTGTGACACATTGTCTCGCTCTCTTGTGTTGCTTGTGCGTGTGTGTTTTTCTCTCTCTCTCTCTACACATCAGTTTCATTTTTCTTTTTCGCTAACCGATCGTTTACTTTTGTTTTTTTTTTTCGTTTTTCCCAATTTTACTAGCTCTTTATTCTTCAGACATTTTTCCCGATTGTTAAAGCAATGGGTTTTCTCCCATGTGCCATTCGATTCAGTTCTCTTCGTGTTGAAGATGATATAGAAACAAGTTTCTCTCGCGTTTTTCTTTTTGTGTCATCTCTTTTTTTTTCGATATACATACAAATACATATACAGAAAGAAAAAAAACAAGAATTTTTTTATTTATACAAAAAGAAAAAAAACAGGTAAGAATAGAATGCAAAATCTTCTTCTTTAGATGACTGATGGTTGTTTAAATTGTCGTTTACTTCTATCATTTATTTGTCTATTAACTTTTCTTATATCAATAACACTTAAAATTAATCAAACATGGTTACATATTTCATGGTTTTTAATATTTATACCAGTATGGATATTTAATTTTATATCATTATGTATAATTATATATTTAATTATAATTAAAAGATGGATAAGAACGAAAGATAAATGTTTAGAAATTATTTATTATATTATGAGTTTATTCTCATCATGTGCATTTGAAATTTTATTATGTATGAAATTCGAATATAAACAAGATATGCCATATTGGATTGTATTTTTACCATTATGGATATTTATCTTTTTGATTTTTAATATTATTCTACAACAAATGTATCGAACATGTCAGACAACAACGGAAAAAACTTTGTAAAACAATCGAGAATGTTTGCCTATCTGTGTATTATATTTTTCAATAAAACTAATATTTCTCAACAAGCATAATTTTGTAAATGATACTAATCAATTCCACTTAAATACAATAGAAATAACACAAACAATAACTATGTTTTTCTCTCTGCACAATACAAGAAATTCTTATCTTTATTATTATATACTAAAGAGAAGCTTTTCTATGTATTCTCTATAGTAAGTATAACACTATTGCTGTAAATATTGTTAATATTTTCTATCTAGAAACAACACAATGTTATCAAGTCTTTCATCTGTCATATCTCTTGATATAGTTTGACGTTTTTCTTTCTGACAAAACAATAATATTCTTTTAGAAACTATTTACTCTGTTAGTTTATACTTGTCTGACATAGAATGCCACTAGGTTTTTATCTTGAAACTCCACAAGGACGTCGGAAATCAGTGACGTTACCTACTAATTTTGGTTTAGATGATTTTCGACATTTAATCGAAAAAAAAGTTGGAAATCCTGAACATTATGATTATTCTCTTGGTGATGTTATTTTTCGTACATGGGATGAAGAATCTTTCAATCGACAACGGAGTGCTATTCATGATGATATTACTCTTATAATACAATATCCACCTGTTGGATCTAATAGCCCACCTTGGCGACAAGCATCATTCGGTTTATGTCTTGAAGGTGTTTGTTTAAATGCACAATGTCAAGCTTTCGAACATAAAGTTATTAAAAATCAAGGTATTGGAAAATTTAATATTATCAATAATTCAATTATAATCACATCAGAATGTCCATTATGTAATATATCTATTCAACCGACGGTTTGTGCTTTTTATCAATGTTCATGGAAAGTATCCGGTGTGAAATTGGATGAATCAAATAAAATGTTATCATCTACAAAAGCTATTGATTGGCAAACTACAACACATGATTACTATCGATGGGAAGATAATTTAACATCATGGACACAATTAACTATTGAAACTAGAATAATGTAATACTTATTATTATAAACATATCTATGTCATGAAAATATATAGTCAATTTTTTAATGCTTTGTTGTATGTTTAAATAATTCTCATTTAAATATACTTCTTATACCTTTTATTAACTGGGATCAAAAATGATAAATATTGTTTTTATATCGATATTAATAAATAAAAATCATTTATTCTTAAATAAGATTATCAATTTTATTGTTCAATACATAACAATAATTCATAGATTAGAAGTTACTTGTAGGATAGTCACATAATGGACCAGTCCATTCAGCAGTACATATGCATTTGACACCTTCGCTTGAATTTGGTACACAACTTCCACCATTCTCACAAATTTCAAAGGCGCATTGATTTATATCTTTCAAATAATGTAAAATAATTTTTCATCAGAAAGAAAAAATCAAAATTATACCGTTAACTGCTTCGCAAAACATTCCTTTAAAATTTGGAGGACAAGCACATTTGAAGGCACTACCTAATACTATTGAACATGTTCCTCCATTGTAGCATGGATTAATCGGACAGGCATTATTTAATTTTTCAAATGAATTCTTTGCACTTTTTCTGACAATCGCAAAGGATCCACTCTCAATGTCGTCACATCGAATTCCTGTAAAACCTGATCGACATAGACATCTGAAATCATTGTTTGATGTTATTACACATGTTCCTCCATTATTGCATAAATTTGAATTAGCAGAACAAAAATCTATTAAACAAATATCTAATTAAAAAAATACGGTTTCATTCAATGATGACTTACTTCGCATATCTTGACCATTAACGTTTATATAACAAATAGAAACCATAATAACAATAATAGAAATCGAATGCATGTTTTTTATTATTATTTTCAATTGTAATCAAGCTCTTTTTATCATTGTCGTATATATAGTTATTTTGGGATTAAACAGTACGGAAGTGCTTAACGTCACTCAAATATATTTTCGTCTTATATTACATTTCTGTCAGACCATTTTACTATAATTTTAACTTAAATTTAAAGTAAATTTTTATAATCCATACGAAAACAAGACTATAACAATAGTTACTATCTCTTATGTTTTCATAAGTATCTATGATTCTTGGTAAAATGAATAAGAGATAGATATAAACAAAATAAAATTGATTTTGATACATCTTGTAAAATATGAAAATAATGTATTTACTCAACAAAAAAGTAATGCTTTTTATTATTGCTCACTGATTCATCGTATCACAGAAAGAAAAAAAAATGACTCAATATTTCTTCAGCATAGAATGATTTAAATAGTATTGTAATAACTCATTTATTAGTTTATTCTTATTTTTCGTCGATTCACAAGATATACATAGTCAATTATTTTAACAAATATTCATTAGAATTACTTGCTTATAAATCTAAATATTGAATAATAATGGATACAGCCATTCAAACTGTCTCAAAATCTGAAATCAATTTCCTAGATTTGTTACTAATCGAGAGAGATACATGTATAAATAAAACACAAATAAAACGTGTTGAACTTAATCAAAAAGATAACGATGTGATTGATTTTGATACAGCGATTATATTAATTGGTCGATTTAGTAATAATAATAAAGTACGAGATAGAGTAATTTGAGTAGTCTTTTTTTCTATTGAGTATTCTTTTAGCAAATACAATACTATTTCAATCATAGTCATTCTTCGTATAATCAGTATAATGATTTATCTCGTACATCTGATTATAAATGTCATATACATTCTGATAAACAACGACAAATAAATGTTGTTGATCAAATGATTGCTCAATCATATATTCCTTATTCTCTATTACCAAAACATTTCAAGCCACAACAGTCATATTTAGTAAATAATTTTTACTATGAATCATATACAAAGAATTGTTATAATTCACATTTTTATCGACGATTTCAACATTGTTCATATGTTATTAGTAAACGGAATAATCCTTATCTATATTCGAATCAACAACGTGGAAGATATCGGTAAATAACAAAAACATGCGTTTTTTTTTGTTCAATTTTGAATTTCTTAAGAAGTTGTAGACAAAATGATAATAGTTGCATTCTTGACAATCATCGGACAAATACGTTCGTACAAGATAGATATCAATTATTAATGGATAAATAAGCGAATACAAGAATCTTATGCCACATTTTCTTTGTATATTTATTTGTTTTTTTCTGTTATTTTTCTATTTGAAAAAGAAAATGTATAAATTGAGAATACTGATTCGGAATGAATTTTACACTATGTCCATATCGAATGTGTTGATTGTGCAATCAAAAATAGATGAAAGTCTTTTGCTAATTATCAACACCTTCTTTTATAACAAAAGGAGATTAGAAAACGACATCTCTACGACAAACTGTTACTGGAGTCTCAGTAGTATATAGCTAGATACTGCTAAAATTTCGAACATAAAAAACTCGTTACCCCTTATACTATACCATCTATCCTGTTTTATTCATTTCAAATATTTGATGCTAAGACATATTCTCTTGTACTTAACAGAATAATAAAAGAAACAAGTATATCTGGATAATATTCAGTCTTATAATAATGATGATAAGTTTTATAAGAAGACAAAGTGCATAGATTCAATTTTTGGTATGTTTTACTACGAGAAACTTGTATCATATCTAAAAAAATAACTCGTCTTGAGATATTTAGGAAAAGGGCACCACCAACGGATAATTGTGGGT